GGGGGGGGGGGGTGTTTGGGGGATGCATGCAGTACGCTTGTGCGGACGTGCGACAAGGGAGCGGATTGTGTCCTGAGGTACGGCCTTGCGAGGGCGCGAGGAGGTGAGCTGGGGTCCGATTCTGGCCATCCAGCCTTCAGTCACCAGCTGCCCGGCCACCATCTGTCGTCGCGGTGCACGCCCCACCCCTCACCCCCACCCCCACCCCGCCCCCCTCCTCCCAGGCCACGGGCCACCACACCGGCACCGAGCTGCGCCTGCCGGGGCTGGAGCCGCTGCCGCCCAGCGGCAAGCACTTCTGCCTGGCTGAGGAGGTGAGCGGCCGCCCCCGACTCGACCCGCGCCTGCACACCCACGCCCCACCGTCCCTGTGGCCTCGCCTCAAGCCGACGATTGAGCGTGCGCGCGTTGGCGCAGGCCTTGCGGCCTTCGGTCGCCGTGCGCACTGGCGACGCACACCCGCCTCGCCCGCGCTTTGTCTGCGGCCCCATTCGTCATCCCGGTGGGCGCTCGGCTCCTGGCCGCTGCCCCGCCTTGACCAGAACACGGTTCTCATGCTGTTTGCCCCGTCAGGTCCAGAAGATTAAGGTAGACTCCCAGGGCAGGGTCAAGGAGATCCTGGTGGGTGCGGGTGTTTTTCTTTCTGGGGGGGGGGATGCGATGGGTAGGCCGGCGGGGCTGCGTGAGCGGCAGCACTGGCCCACACACAGATGGGTTGCGGAGGCTGGACGGAGGCGGAACACTGCGCGCCGATGCTCGTTGCGCGCCTTCGTCGGGGGTCTTGCGTCGCGGGGTTCTTGCACGGTGGGGATGCGCGATGCACTTTTGTACTGCTCGCAGACAGCGGGCGGCGTCTCGGTGGTGCGCGGCGTGCCCGCAACCGCCCCCTTGCCTGACCCTCTGAGCTAAACCCTGAACCCTCAACCCCGCCACACCTGCCGCCAGGTGCTGCCAAACAAGGGCGCCGGGCCGCGCGCCATGTACGCCGCCCTGGGCGGGAAGCTGCCGGACCCCCCGCAAGCTGCACCCCCCGCAGACATCCCCCCAGTGCCCTGAGACCTTTGGAGCGCTGCGCTGCTCTCTGCCCCGCACCCTCTGCCCATCGTTCGTTCATCCGCGCGGCGTGGGAGCGGCCCGTCGGCTAGTCGTTGCTCGCGTAAGCGACACACTTGTGCATTTGCGGCTTAGTTTCCAGCCCGTGGGGGCTCCTGCAGCAGCGCTGGCTGTGGTGCTGAGAGCATCCGGTGTTTTTCGCCCCAGCATGGCTCTGCCTTTGCGGTTTTCTCGACCGACATGGCCCCAGGCCGCCCTGACAGGGCGGCCTTAGCAGAGCTGGTGCAAAGGTACTGGCAGTGTGTGGTGTCCAAATCCTGTTGCAGGCCGAGTGTGCGGCGCAAGCTGAGTGAAGGTGGGCGTGCGAGAAGGGCCAGGCTGCCATGAACTCAACATCAATGAGGGGCTGCTCTGGCCTTGAGGGCAGCAAACGCGGGGCAGTGCCAAAATGCTGGTGCATTGCCCCTGTACACGGCACCATTCACCATTCCAATTAGCCCACGGGTGCGTGGCTTCCATCTGCTTGGACCTTGCCCAGGGCAGGCGCCTGGCAAGGCTGGTTACACTTTGCACTCCCATGATCTCACATTGCCAATGCGCGCGGTTGAAACACCACCAGGTGCAACCAAACTTGCTCCCGCTGCTTTGCGCTGACGGTGTCCACTTTTGTGTGGTGTTGCACTCGCCTGTTGTTGCCTGATTGCCCAGTTGTACCGTCACGTTACAGTCGCCAAACCTACAAAACCAAGTAACTGAGGAACCCAGTCAGTGAAGGGATTCAGCTGGAAATGGGACTCAGCAGTACGGAACCCAGCGGCAGCAGGCGGGACGATGACGTCAGTTGCACAGCTTGCTGACGACTCAATCGCGCACATGATGATGGGCGCCCGTGCGAGCAAAAAACATCAACAGGTCCTCAACCGCTTGCAGAGACTGTCGGGCAGCAGAGCAAGTGCGATCCTGCAACTCAATACTGCGTCGCTCTGCACTCTTGGGTCCCAAACCACAATGCAAGGCGACACCCAGCGCTTATCAGATGCAATGCCAAAACCCTGGGCATGCGTGGGCGGTGGAGCCTGCAATTGACAGCCGCGCCCTCTCCCCTGCTCCCTCAACCAGGACAACACGTACCGCAGCGCAACACTGCATTCCCCAGAAATCCCGCTCCATGCCAACCAGGATACCGCACCCGCCCCTGCTGCACCCTCCACTGAAGCGCACGCAAGAAGGGGTATGCACTGCAGCTCACGCCGGCGTGTAGGCATACCCCTCCAGCCCCCGCCGCGTCAGGCTGCTCGCGCAGTCCATGAGCCAGGTCAGCCCCACGATGGGGGCCCCCAGCGCGGCCGCGCTGGCCGCGGCCGCGGCCCCGGCGGCCGCGCCCCCGGTCGCTGCGAGTGCGTCGGGGTCTACCACTATGACCAGTCCGGCCTGCTGCTGTTGCGGCTGCTCGGCAGCTGCGTTAGAGCGCCGCTTGCCGACAGCAGCGTGCGGCAGGCGGGCGAGCAGCTTGGCGCCGGCGGCGCGCGCCAGGGCTGACACGCCGTCCTTCGCTGGGAAAGGGCCTGCGAGGAGAGGGCCCGGCGCAGTTTGCGAATGGGTGTGCAGAGGGGTGCGCGCAGAGACGCGAGGTCGAGAGCCTGGTGCTCATCAAAGCACTGAGGCGGTGGTGCATGGGACGGCGGGCGGCGACAGAGGTGAGCTCGCTCATCGCGGGCGAGCAGTGGCAGTTGCACGAGGCCGGATAACGTTGGCAGCGGTCCCTGTGGCAGCTGGTGCTGTGCACACCCATGGCCCAAGGACGACCCCACTTTTCAATGGCCCAAACCCAACGAACGGGTCAAAGTCAACAATCTCTTATCGCACCCACCTGCCAGATACATCTCCAGCCCCTCAAGCAGCCTGGCGCCTCCGCTGCTGCTGCCGCCGCCGCCGCCCTCCGCCGCTGCCGCCGCCATCTCCCTCCCCTCCCGCGGCCCGCCCTCAAACCCCGCCGTGTCCCCCGCCGCCTCGTGGTCGCCCTCAGGCGCCGGCGCCCCGGCGGCCAGGCTGGCCGCGGCCCAGGTCGAGCCGACCACCCAGGCGCCCGCCAGCAGGCCAGACAGGTACTTTATGGTGCGGCGCGCGCGGCCTTGTTCATTGAGGGCCGCCACCACGTGAGTCACCCCGGGCTCCCAGTGCTCCGCCAGCCGCGCGCCTGCAGGGGTAGAGGAAAGGTTCGCGCCCGGCTGCTTAGCTTCTTTGCTGTTTGGGCGAGCACGCAGCGCCTGTCTTGCTGCGCCTGCAGAATTGCAGCAGCGAACGTGTCTGAAAACAAGCCACAGGGATGTGAGCATACGGAGGCGTGCGTGTCATAGAGCGCGCCGCACCCGAGGCGTGCGCCAGGTTCCGCAGCAGGGCCTTCTCATCTTCCGACAGCCCAGAGCCAGTCAGCACCCAGTCGCGCCGCGGCGCACCCCACGCAGCGGGCGCCCCCGCGCCGTCGGGCGTCCTTGCGGCGGCGCCGCCGCCGCCGCCGCGGGTCGGCACTGCCGGTGGCGTCAACTGCTGCCGCGCTCGTTTGGCGGCGCCGGCGCCGCTGCCGCCGCCGCCGTTGGCGCCGCTGCTGCGGCCCGCCGCATCATTAGAGGCTGAGTCGGGGGTGGCGCGCTTGCGGGCCACCAACGGCGTGGCAGTCGCGGGCGTGCCTTTCCGCTGCTTCGTCCCCGTTTCCGGCCGGCTGCCGGGCCCGGCCGAAGCAGCTCCTGCCGCCGGCGCAGGCGCCGCCGCTGCGGCCTGCGCAAACGGCGTCTGCTGCGCCGCGTGGCGCGCGGCGCCCGCGGCCGAGCCGCCGCTGTCCGGCGTCGCCGGCGTCGCCTGCGCGGCCTTGCCTCTCCGCGCCTTGCCGCCCGCACCCGCTGCGGCGCCCGCGCCGCCGCTGCTTCGACCTCGACCGCGGGCGCGGCCGCTTCCGCCAGCCTGGCTGCTGCTGCCGGGGGCCGCAGCGCCGCCGGCGCTCCCAGGGCTCGGCTGCTGCGCCGCCGCAGCCGGCTGCTGCGACGCCACGGCCTGGGCCTCGGCCGCCTGTTGCTCGGCGGCCACCTCCGGGGCCGGCGCGTCCAGCCCGCGCTTGGTGCCGCACACACCACACTTCATGGCTGCGCTCGCGTTCTCAAACGTGCACGCGGCGCACGCCCACGGCAGCAGGCGGCTTGGGATGCGCCGGCTGCCGCCACCGCCGCTGCCATTGCCGCTGGCAGCTACACTGCCGCGGGGCGGCGGGGGCGGCGGCGGCAGCATCGCGCCCTTAGCCGCCCTGCGGCCCCTCCCAC